GTTCCTCAAAACCTAAGTGAAGGGAAGTTACTCCATAGAGAAGAGAGAGACTGCAGAAATCTGATCTAGATCTTCAATCTCCATCTCCAAGCTTGATTCTCGAGCTCCAATGGTGAAGAAATCCTCCAAAATAGCTCCAAGAATGTTCCCAAGTCGCTCTCTCTCTCTAGGGTTCGTCCCTTGGGTGTTTGGGATCCAAAACCCAGCTCTCCTCCTTTCCTTTCGCTGAAAATCGGGTTTTAAACAACAATTCCCGACCCGCACGGGCAGGCCGCACGGCCGTGCAGCTCACCTTGCACGGCCATGCAGCTCACCTTGCACGGCCGTGCGGATTTTCTGCTCTGCCCGTGTGGCTTGCTCAGCCTCTGTTTAATGCTTCGTTTCTCCCTCGTCCGGACTCCGAATCAGTCGCCGTTTGATCCCAGACGCTCGTAGTCTCGTCCTCTTTCGTTTCATAAAAAGCTTGCATGATTCTCTGTCCATGAAGTGAGGTAGAAATCCATTCTTCTTCAGGTCATGCCCGAGTGTCTTCTCCCAAATCGTCAATTGATCTCTGATTGACTTGAAACTTGCGCCTATGCTTCACTTTATGTGCTAGGACCTGAAATGTGACAAAGGAACACAACCTAGCGTAAAATAGGCCAAAGACACGGTAATTCAAGCTCAAACAATCAAGAAACAAAGGGGAAAACATGTGCAAATACCGAGTCATTAAATCCCCCCACACTTAACTGTTTGCTTGTCCCCAAGCAAACCAAACTCAAACCAATGCAGCTCTCCAGAGCTCTATAGCAACATACAACCCCGATCGTCGGTAGAGGATTTCCTAGATCATATAGCAGCTTACGAGGTCAACTAGTCTTCTAAGACGTTCCCTATCTCTCTCAATGCGAGTACTAGACTCAAGCCAGGATCATGAGAAAAAGTAGAAGTAAGACAGTCAGTTCATGGATAAAGGGACTCACACCATTCACAACCAAGGACTCGTTGTACCGGGGTGCTCTTTCCCTTCATTTCACCGTTGGAACCCCCTTTTTCTCACTTTCATTTACATTTTTTTTCATTTGGTGGGGTTCCAACTGCAGTCTTTTGCACGGTCGACCCTTATTAGTCGAGCAAGAGCAATTTCTGTACATCTGGCGCTCGCCAGAGTACTTCTTTTAACTCCTTTTCCTCAACTCGTGTGGAGGGTCAATGAAATTAAGGGGGGTCGGAAGCTCTATCCGTGCCCTTAAAAACACATCCTCGAGTAGGCAAACCGCTCAACGGGTGGAAGTTTTACTTGTACTAGAGACAGCTTAGCTTCACCTTGTAGGAGTACCCCACTAAGGATCACTAAAATCTCTTCCAAAACCCGATTTCGTGCAATGAACGGTGCCACACACGTTGGGCTTACCCCATGTTTAAGATTTCAATGATTTCGACATGGAGGACCAACTGCTTCCCATTTTCCATATGAGCACCCTGTTCGATACACGAGTCCAAAACACAATCCACATAGAGTCACCATTACCACATGAATTCAACGGTCCTAGCTCCACTAATTCACAAAATCAACTGGCACAGCAAAGAGCTAGATAGGAAAAATCTTATACTTCAACATCCTCCATAGTGCTACACTACCTCCCTAGGTTGCACATTACTATAGAGACTGTCAATTCAAAGCATACTGAGCAGGCAATTTGCAAGGGAACACGTACTTGGAGCCCTCAAATCGAAATTTGGACAGTGGACTAGACTCCAAGCACACAAACAGCCAAACATTCACCCGCATACATAATCGAACACCCCCCACACTTAAGCACGACATTGTCCTCAATGGAGGAAAGATAAGGAGGGTAGAACGAAGTTACCAGATCAAGGGTGAATGATGATGGACGGGGCAGGCGGTGCATTCCAGGAAGAGAGAGTAATCAGAACACAAACACCACACAAAATCTCACAAAGGTTGAGCTATTGACTCTAAAATCAAATAACAAAACTGACTCAACCGAGGAGAAATAGAGAAAGAAATGCAAACCGACTGGTTGGGTTGCCTCCCAACAAGCGCTTCTTTCACGTCGTGAGCCGGACGATGGCTCCTAAGTTTCGGTCCATGCTAGAACCTCCTTGAAGTTGAGGTTCTCATCTATGAGGTGGAGTCTCAAGTCACAAGCAGGTGATGTGGCAGGTGATGAAGGCTCGTGCACTTGATGCAGATGAAGTCTCCACCCTCGAGACCTCTTCTTCTCTTCTCTCGTCTCATTGCCCCAACCCAGATAAGACAGCATCGATTGGCCACCACCGCGTCCACCAAGAGGGACCGATGTCGAAGTGGCCTTGGTCTGGCAAAGAGACACTGCAAATGGGTCCTTGCTAAGTAGTTCCTCAAAGTTTGGTGGAGATATCACATGCAACTCATGGCCGGTGCAGGCCTCTTCCACCTCAACTTCGTCCTCAGCTTGGACGCCAATTGCTTCGTCAACCTCCCTTCCTTGTTCATATGGTATCACCCCTGGGAAATGATCAAGAACTCCTTCTGCTTCACTTTCGTCATCCTCCACAACTTCTTTCTGCACCCTTGCTTGCTCTTCTTCTTCTAGCACGGATTGGAGAGCAAGTTGCCAAGCAATTTCTCTCATGAGATCTTCTTGCATCTCCTCACTCATGCCCACCTCTTCAAAGCTCAGTGTGGGGTGCGGGAAGGGGTGGTCGGCTACGACAGGACATTCTTGATCATGATCTTCACGGGAGCTCTCCGTGATAACTTCTGTTTGCTCCACAATGTCCTTGTAGCCTTCTTCTTCCTCGTCCTCTTCTAGTATGGTAGCAGACGGGTGATCTTGAGCAAGTTGTGCACAAACCTGCTCAACCCGCTCTGGTTGCTTTGATGAGTGCGAAACATTCTCCTCCGATTCACGGAGGGATGAAGAGTTAGGAGGAGCAAAGGATGAGAAAAGGAGGTCCATCTTGCGATTGCGTCTCTCGGAGTCCCTAACAAACTGCTCCAGGAGAAGCCTCAGTTCATAGTTTGGATCTGGCTGTGGAGTGTAGCATGGCTCTGCAGAATGGCCCGTGAAGGCCGCCATGGGTAACTCCAGCGCCGATGGCCCTTCTGGTTGTGGGAGAAAGTCTTCTTGGTAATGAGATTGTTCTTGATATGCCCAGGGGTCAGACTGTTCTCCGTAGTAAGGGGGTTGGTACTGGAACCCGAATCCATAGTCTTCTCCTCCTTGATTGCTCCAGGGTGTCTCGGGGTAATACCACTCGGATGGTGGTGGATACCCCCAATGGTTGGAGAAGCCATGAGGATCCATGATTCAGATCTGCACCAACAAAAACAAAAACACCCAAGTGAAAAGCAAGGGTGGAAAACAAAAGAAAAACGCTAAAGTAACAAACTTCTGCCTTTCCTAATAATCTAGAAAGTCCCCGGCAACGGCGCCAAAAACTTGACTCGCTAAAACACAACTCCTAACAATGGCCAAGTGTAACCAATGAAAGGGACTGCAGTATAGTGGCTCAAGTAATAAATATCGAATCCACGGGTCTCTAGAGTTACTATTACTCAGCTTCAGTTCATTATCTAGCAAAACAGATAAAGATGAAAGAACTAAAACTACTCTAGCAAACTACAGTTAAAGTTAATCTAATTACAGGTTGGGAACTCACTTAGGTATGATTCCCCCTAGCCACTAGCCAGATTAACGATTGATGATCTCTAACTTGTTTCACTTTCATTCACAATGCGGAAATCCTTGACTAGACCTTGAGTCTCGACTAAAGGAACAAGGCCCTCTTGAGTCAATTGCCTAGAGGGACGTATCCTTCTCTAGAACAATCGATCAAGGCGTTCTGAACTAGACTCCCTCTATCGAATGAGGTTCTCAATCCATACAAAGCAGTGAATCAACCCTCGACTAAAGCAATCGATACACTACTATCAATCTATGGTGCTCTATTGACCTAATCAGGTATTCGCTCTCATAGGATCAAAGCAGAATCAATAATCTCGACTAAAGCAGAATTGAATCGTGAAAACATGCATAGATTGAATATGAACTCAAGATTATCAAGTCAGAGTACTCATACAATCATCCAATCAAACAAACATAGCTAGGGTTCCTCAAAACCTAAGTGAAGGGAAGTTACTCCATAGAGAAGAGAGAGACTGCAGAAATATGATCTAGATCTTCAATCTCCATCTCCAAGCTTGATTCTCGAGCTCCAATGGTGAAGAAATCCTCCAAAATAGCTCCAAGAATGTTCCCAAGTCGCTCTCTCTCTAGGGTTCGTCCCTTGGGTGTTTGGGATCCAAAACCCAGCTCTCCTCCTTTTCTTTCGCTGAAAATCGGGTTTTAAACAACAATTCCCGACCCGCACGGGCAGGCCGCACGGCCGTGCAACTCACCTTGCACGGCCATGCAGCTCACCTTGCACGGCCGTGCGGATTTTCTGCCACTACAACAAATTTTGCCTATTATGACGAGGCTATTTTGTCATATTAGATACCGATTTTGTCATATTAGGTATAATATGACAATTGGTGTTGTCACAAAGGTTTGTCATTTTATCGCCGTCAGGATAGGTCAAATGTGACAAATATTTAAAACAAATTTGTCACATTTGCATATAGTATAGCTGAGATTCTGGATAGTCTATTGTGACAAACATAGATGTTATGACGACATATTTTGTCATTAAGTTTGTCATAATCTGGTGATTTGGGATAATTATTCGTCATATTACACAATTATATTTTGTCATAACTGTATATTGTGACGACTACATTTTCTCACAAGTGTTTATTGTGACGACATTATTTTGTCATACCTGCATATATTGACGAATATATTTGTCAGAAAAGGTGCATTATTTGTCTCATGACTAAAATGACATATAATAAACACTACAAAGAATCCTTTTAATTAATTACATTAGCTTGTTGCATCTACTTCTTGTTGCATGCTCTTGGAGACTTAGACTTTGTATCAATAATTTCTTTTAAATAAGACAAAAATATTACATGGAGTTCATTTATGGAATCCAATGACAAAGTAAATAAACATTAACAGGAAACGAAATCATGTAAAGGAGCTACACGTAAAAAAAAGCAACTGGAACAACTAAAGAATGCTGCAGAGTTGAAACAAATAGATTCATGCAAATGGAGTAGATGACTCCTGCAAATGTCTCTTATCGCCTTAAGCTCTAGGCTGCTGCTCCTTGTCCTGCACCTCTTAAGGGGATATTGGACAAACTGATTCACACGAAAAGAACGTCAAGACACACAATTAGAATTTGGAAAAGGCCATTTGTCAATTTTAAGATGACTTTGCAGAAACATCAACAAGGTAAGCCACTTTTTCTTACACATAGTTTTAAATTAAGGCTACTGAAATTAATGAACCGAACTATGAAGAAAAGATATCAAAACAACAAAAACCAGCTAAGGGGTCGTTTGGATGAGTTTTTTTATATGAGTTATTCTGACCCAAATAACTCAAAATGAGTTATTAGGCCCAGAATAACCCGTTTGGCAACATAAAAGTGGAATGGGTTATTGTAGGGCTGGGTTATTTGGAAATAACGCAAAATGCGTTATTCAAAATAACACCCACCCCCCCTGTTATTTGTAAATAACGCGATTTGCGGCCCACCTATTCCCTTTCTAACCCTGTCATTGTCGTCTCTTTCCTCCGTCCTCTCTTCTTCGCTCCTCTCTCATCTCTCTTCTTCGTTTCTTCCGTGCAGTCTGCCGAAGAACAAAACTTCACACCGCCACCACAGATTCCTCTCGATCTCCTTCTCTATTTACAGATCTCCTTCTCTTTTTACTTCTTAATCGAACCTCGAAAATCGAATTCCGCCAGAAACTTTTTCCTGCTAAGAACCTCTATCTCCTCCTCTGCTCTCCGCCTCCCAGCTGAGAAATTTTATTTGTATGGACATAGGGAAGAAGAGCAGCAGAACCTGCGGTGTGCGAAAGATGGGTTTCGATTGTCGGAGTCTAGAAAACAAGTTCTGGGTTTTTCGAGTTGTGAAGATCTGGGTTTCCAAGAGAAATTGTTAAGACCTTGGGTTTTTTAGCTGGAGTTCGGCGGAGCTGGAAATCAAGTTCTTGACCTAGATTTGGGTAAACATAGGAGGTTGTCGGAGCTAGAAAACAGCGCATGCAGCAGAACTGAAATCTTCCTAATAATTGATTTTTTCTATTTAATTTCTAATTCTCTTCTTCTCTATCCTTCTACTGGAGCTAGAAAACAGGGCATGCAGCTAGAAAACTGAAACCCCTGTTTTTTGTTCGTATCTTCTTTCTTGCAGATCGCCACGGCGAAGTGCCAAAGACAAGAGATGAGAGCCCGACTGCCTTGTGACACTTGGCCGAGAGAGAAAACCAACAAATCAATAGGGGGAAAAGGTTGAATTATGTTTAAAGGGAGAGTGTTTGATCTCTCTCGTTTTCTCTTTTGTTTGGGGTTTCTGTAAAGAGAAGAAATGGGAAAGAAAGAACCAATTTTGAAGAACATGAGATCATTTCTTAATGGCTGAAATCGAATTGGTAGACTAGATTACGAGGATATTATGGTAATTTTGCAGTTTTTGTTAACAAATACCACATAGAAATAACCCATCTATTAAGTCAATCCAAACAATACAATTTCATTCCCAATTTTCTCAAATAACACACAAATACTACATTCCTAAATAATGAGTTATTTCACCTTATAAATGCCACATAACCAATTAATCCATCCAAACGACCTGTTCACAGAGAAATTGACAACTTAGTACCTCAAAAAGGTTTACCTGACATCAATATCAAATGACAAATTCTTTGAGAACCAATGAGAGTAAGGGATGAGCCACTATAATCTGTAGGCAAATGTTCAAGCTGCAATTAAAATAAAAAAAAAAATGCCAAAACTTCATCTAAACTTAAGCAGAAAGCAAAAAACATGGATTACGAATCAAACAAGTATCAATAAATTACCTTGAGATTCCAAGCTCGCTTAAAGAGTCTGTGTATGACTTGGTAAGAGGCTTTACCCTTCACCTCATCAAGCCACCATTGCATTCAGCATATGAATAACTTAATCAATGGAAAGAATGTGAAAGAATGTGGCAAGCTTTTATTACTGTCAACATAGAAAAACTCCACCAAATTACTATTTACATGCAGAAATTCTGTGAGGAAGATGATATGTATTTAAGGACTATAATGATTCACAACAGGACATATACCACCAATTCTTACAGGACCAATCGTATGCTTCTTTAAACAGTAAAGACAAGAATCAAAATTAGTACAGAATTACAATGTTACATTATTCACTTTTGAATTCTTACATTTATAAGGTAGAGAGGTAGATTCACGTGCAATTGTTTTAACAGGACACGTTTTGTTGCTAATTCAATTCGGCAAGATTCAGAATTATCTAAAACAGAATGAAACTTCCCAACTTTTAGCGACATCTCCCTACCCAATTTGTGAGAAGAAATAGTTGCATCATTTTACAAGGAGGCACATAGATCCAATAACAACTTGATTGGTTGCTTGGTAGCTTTGTTGTTCCTTAGCTCAGTAAAGAGTTTACCCAGGATGGTTGATTGCTTTTTGGCCATCTCTTGGATAACTTTGGCTAAGGATTTTATGTTTGTTGTTGTTGTTGATGATGCTTCGGGATAAGATTGCAGAACGTGGGCACACAAGTTGAAGTCATAGTTGTGTTTGCACACCTGTTCAATTAATTTGAATAGAGAGGTTAGTGTTGGCAGTCTCTACCTGTTGTTTGAGTAAGAAGTTGAGAAATCAGGGTTTAGGAGGTTGTAAGAACAATATAAGCCCATATTAGGAAAAAAGGTATAGGAGTGATCCAGAGAAACATAACAGATGGATGAATGGATATATAAGCAACAATAAAGACACACGATCCATAGCTAAACTCTTGGGATTCTAAAACCAATCAAATCTAAATTAGAAAACTAAGTATAAGCGTCATTTGTTATGTATTTGTTCCATTCGTTGCTGCACACGGTGATAGTTAAGTAATCAGTCAGCAGTAGTGGAATGGAGTAATTCTAACCTAATATCCCTTTAATTATCCTACGCAACACCCAAATTGCAAAAGTTCAGAAACATCACGACTCTACCTCAGATAAATAAAGAACTAACCTATCATCGGTCTCAAAACACACAAACCCAAAATACGAAAGGAGAATCAGGGGGACCTTACGTGGAGTTTGGTGATGTGAAGCAATTTGTTGTTGATGGTCGTTGCTTCAGTGACCACCGCCGCATTGAGTGCTTCATGAACGCCCTCGGAACAAGCGTTAGATGATGCTTCACATCTCGGATGCAGGCTCACGGTTGTCTGGAGGGAGAGGAAGATGATGGCGGCGCAATCGTTGTTGCTGCTTGACTTCTCGGACGGGGTTCGTCATTGTCTCGAGGGAGAGGAAGATGATGGCGGTGGGGTGGGGTAGGTGGTGGTCTGGGGGAAGAAGGAACAGCGGTAGCGGGATATGGTGGGATGGGAGGTTGAGCGAGAGGTAGAAGGAATTGGGAGGAGAGTTCGACAATCGACACCCGTCTCCTTCTAGGGTTATGGTGGACGAAACGATAGCGTTTAGAAGCACAGAGGAAAGGGAACAAAATTGTACCCGTCGTGAATTGAACGCGAGGTCTAAGTGTGTGTTTTCTGCTCGGAAATGGGGAATAACCCGTCCACTTATTTCTTTCTTTTTTTATAAGCACCGTCCCCTTATTTCCTAAAAACAAGTATTTATTTTTCTCCCACAGCTTTCTCGTTCCCCGAATAAAAAGAAGAGAAGAGGAGGAAAAGGAGTGGAGTCCTAGGGTAAATGAAAATTTGGTTGGGGGAGAGGGGATTTCAAGTTTTGGTGGGCTGAAATTGAGGTCTAAAAATTTGGAGTGTTTGAAAAGCGGATAGTTAAAAATTGGGCGGGACTAAAATTTGGGTGGGGGAATAATGTGTCAGTCGGACCGATTGGTTTCAGTCTAACACAAGCAAATCGGAGGAAAATTCCTTTGTTAAAAACGAAACCACTAGATTATGACGAATATGCCTTTTGTCAAAGCCGAACCCACTACATTATGACAAACACGCCCTTTTGTCAGCTCGTCGTGAGATTATTGCTATCTATTGTGTCAAAATACTTTGTCATTTAAACAATTCAGGAAGGCATAATATGACAAAAGCTACTCTGACGATATAATTTGTCATTTTTGTGTCTCTTACATCCCGATATGGGATGCCTATTTTGACAAACTTAATTGTGACACAAAATATTTGTCACACTAATCACTTTAAATGACGAACTATTCTGACAACAAGAAATTTGTCACTGTTGAGTCTCTTACATCCCGATATGGGACGCCTATTTTGACAAAATTAATTATGACACGAATTATTTGTCACATTACTCACTTTAAATGACGAATTATTCTGACAAATTTTTTTTTGTCATATTAGACATACCAAATAGGACATATATTATTTTGGTCATATCATCGTACATATTATGACAAACATAAAATGACAAAATAAAATTTTTGTCCTAATAGGTCGAATTTGTTGTAGTGTGCTATGCCCGTGTGGCTTGCTCAGCCTCTGTTTAATGCTTCGTTTCTCCCTCGTCCGGACTCCGAATCAGTCGCCGTTTGATCCCAGATGCTCGTAGTCTCGTCCTCTTTCGTTTCATAACAAGCTTGCATGATTCTCTGTCCATGAAGTGAGGTAGAAATCCATTCTTCTTCAGGTCATGCCCGAGTGTCTTCTCCCAAATCGTCAATTGATCTCTGATTGACTTGAAACTTGCGCCTATGCTTCACTTTATGTGCTAGGACCTGAAATGTGACAAAGGAACACAACCTAGCGTAAAATAGGCCAAAGACACGGTAATTCAAGCTCAAACAATCAAGAAACAAAGGGGAAAACATGTGCAAATACCGAGTCATCAACAAGGTTTAGAGGAAGTTATCATCATCATCAAGTTTAGTTTATTGTCAATGTTTAGACTTTTAGTTTGAGTTATGTTTGTTTTAATTTAATTGTTCTTCAAAAGCAAGTTGGTATGATTTGTCTTGTAGTATCAAGCTTGAGTATTTAAAACCAAGTACGAATGAGAAACACCCAAGGATTCTAGAGTTCCATTTTCCACAACTCATCTTTGTTGTTAATCGTTACTACTTATTGAAAATCCATCTTAAAAAAACGTAAGTGTCAAAGTTATCATCCTAACTAGTCCGATCAAGACAAAATCGAGGAATAAATAGTAGTAGCATTGCAACTTAGTAGAGGAACAATGAAACTAGGAGAGTCAGCCAGAAAGCACAAAAATGAGGATATATGAGCCAAACGATCAATGATTATATACTCGGTTAAGTAGCGGTTAAGCGAGAAGGATCAGGCGTGCAAATCTGGAGTATTAGCGCCAAATTATATTTAGGGGTGATTTACTTAATAATTGAGAATGGTTATGTAATTTTTAGTAAATACGGTGAATTTCATTTGCAAATTACATCTCAATTTCTCGAAATTTCTAAAATTAGTCTCAATTCCCCATAATTCAAAAATATAGAATTGATATCGAACACTTAAATATATTGTTAACTTATAATGACGTATAAAATAAAGCATGTATCAATTAATGACGTAAATACGTAAGCATACCTATAGATCTGGTAAGTAGAAATTTTTAGTGTGATCAATTAGGTTGGATTCGTGAATTGGGTTCAACAGTAACCATTAATTACCATGGTCGCAATTCACTGATAACGGATGAAAATCTGGGCCGCAGTAAATACAATTAATCCAATGGGCAATACTGGCGCAGCTACTTGGGAAGCTGCGGGTGCTTGCTAATCCAGTGTTCATACCTCTATTTTTCAACGACTTAATATCAGTTAAATCAATAAAGTATTAATGGCTTGTAATACTACTTTTTATTTCTATTCGGTTCTGACAACACTAATTAATTGATTTAGTTATTTGGAAATTAAAATAAGAATAATTTCATTTTCGTCTACTAAGGGTGTGTCAATTATGGTTGGTTTTTAGAAGTGTGTCAGAGATTTTGAATTTGTACTTTTGTATCGACGATAGTAGGATTTTTAACCAGAATCTTGAACGGAGGTGTGTCAATTTTGTGAGTCCACTATTCCTATATCGAGCTATACATGTACTTTACTCGACTCCATCAACTCGTGGTGGCCGGTTCGAATTAATCCGTTGGCTGGATTGGTCAATAGCTCCGATGGATGGGAGACGGCTAAGGTGATGATGGGTGTTTGGGATTGCTTTGGTTTTAAATTTGTGTTATTTTGGATTATTGGGACAGTTCTATAGCAACAATGTACGTAGTAACAATTTAGGATTGATAGATACCAAAATATAATATTTGGTTTCACTCAATTCCAGAAATTGATGCAGTCAAACAAACAAAGCCTCAACTTTGGCTATTGTTATTACAAATGCAAACACAGCGGGGGTAGAGTAGCTACCTCTCAGTCTTGCTTTCGGTGTTCAGCAAGCCGCTGAGGATTTGGTAGCTAAGAACTGAATTACGTACGATAATACAAGATTGCATGCATGCATGCATAAAAACAGAAGCAAAACGCGTAATTAATTGGAGCGGATAGGGTGCGAAACTCGATCGTATCAGCGTATCATCACCATATCATATGATACGAGTACAATGATACGATCGGGGTTTTGCATAGGCGGCAGGTCCGGGTTTTGTACCAGAACCCCGCCAAAGCCATAATTCATTAAGGATAGACTTCAATGAGAACCCGCAGCCCACCAACTGGAGTTATTGTGTAGTTGGAGAAGCCAGCTTCAGTGAAGAGTTTGGACCACTGTTGTTCACTTCTTATGGCGCCTTCAAAACAAGACATCATGACCAGGTCCGTGTACAGCAGCGCTGTGGTGGAGCTGTGGTCGTTGCAGCTTTCGTGGCCTAGCACATGGTCTGCTATCATCACCTTCCCTCCTGCTGCCTTTCCACCACTAGTCGTCACCGCTTTCTTGCATTGCTTCAGTAGCTCCACGCAGGACTCGTCGCCCCAGTCGATTAGCACCCACTGTTTTAATTAAGTAAACAGACGATGAAAAGAATTCGAATCTCAGCCCTTCAGATTCAAAACTAGTAGTATTTTTTTTATTATATAATGATCAAAACTAGGGTTGAAAGTTTGGTACTGGTGTTTGAGATATACCGAATACCGTACCGAATTTATCATTATTTGGTATAATCGAATACAGGTTTATTTTTTAGGGATTGGGATTGGAATTCATTTTGGAGTGCTATTCGGTATTTGGGATTACGGGATCGGTATATACCGAAATACCGAAAACTAAAAATTAATTAAATATAACACACAACCTTTAGTCATTCCTCACTCTTTCACAACTTAGAAGTCTCATCCAACTCAATTTTTACTTTCCAATTTAAGTCACTCTCGTCTCTCACCTAATCTCTTTTTATTTTCATAACACCAAATCAAATGCAAAAACTAGTATTAGTTGTCTCTCAGCCTCCAATTCGTCAACTGGTTCTCGACATGGTATCAGAGCTGGTTTGGCCAAGTGATCGTGTGTTCGAATCTCCACAACCCCCAATATCCCAACAACTTGAGTTATTGGGATCAATTGGTTCTTGACAGTCAAAACTAGTAGTATTACCACTTGATCAAATAAACCGCAACGGGTACGTACCTTCAAGAGCACTGCATCGGTTGGCGCGGGGATTTCCTCGAACATGTTCCCTCCAACATAACACAGATTCTCCTGGGTGGGTTTCAACCCGGCAACCACATGGGGGAGATCAAACACGGTGAATTCGATGCCAGGGAAAGCGTCGGCGAGGACTCGAGCCGTGTTCCCGGTGTTGCCTCCTACATCCACGAGCGAGGTCAACCCCTGGAACGCCTTCTGGCACTTGCCCGCCAAAACCCTACCGAACAGCTCGCTGTCGCTCCCGACGCCTTCGTTCAGGAGCCGGGCGAAGCGCGGGTCCTCGGCAGCGACTTGGTACAGCTTCCTGCCACCGTGAGCGAGCGCGAACGGAGTCTGCTGCTGCTGTTGTTCTTCTTCTTCCTCGACGCCTGCAGCGCGAAACCAAGTGCTCATGTGGCGCCAAGGATCCATCATGACAGGATCGCTCCCGAGGAGGAGCGCTGACCTTGCGCTCAAGGGGTTCTCCTTGAGGAGGAGGCGGGACAGCGGCGCCAGGGAATAGCGGCCTTGGTCGTCTTCGAGGAAGTAGCCCAAGTGGACGAGCGCGCGCATGAGGCGGGACAGGAACGGAGCTTTGGCAGGCGGGATTACCAGCGAGGAGGCGAGCTCGAGGAGGGTGATGGGACGAGCTCCGTGGCGGTGGACGAGGTCTGGAATCTCCAACTCGACCGCGCATTTCACTGCCATTGTGCTGATGTAGCCCGAGGTGTGCTCCCAGATGCGGGGTAGACACTCATCCGCAAGCTCCATCGCGCTTTCCATTTTCCGCCCCCCCTTGCTTGCTAGCTAGCTAGCTACTTTCTTAGTTACTAGTACTACTCTATGTATGTTCTTTTCTTGTTTTGCTTGTGTGTTCCTTTGATGCCCACTTCGCTTCTCTATTTATGCAAAAATTTGACAGTAGTCAATTCGTTAACTTTTCATGCAGTCGTACGCGTAAGTTGACTTTAGAGTTCCAGTACTGTCGCGACTTGGATGCTGGGTCTTGACATTTAGCCAAACTGTGGAACTAAAACAATTTAATAGTCTAACATTTTATTATGCTTAAAGAAATAATAGCCAGATCTTTTGAAATGTAGTCATTTTTTTTTTGTTAAAGCTTGCGCCACAGTTAGCAGAATCGTCATACTACGCCACTATTTTGATCGAAGGTGAATGGAAGTTAAGGTGCGTTGCATCTATTTGTACAAAATACTATACTAGTGTAACAATTTTTTTTTGTCAAGTATGTGAGTGACATACATTCTTTTCCTAATTAGTATGTCAAGTGGTCACCAAGAATTCCTTCTTTCTCAACAACTTGGTGCTTGACGTCCACCTTCCTCCTAACATTAAATTAAAATTTCCTGAAAACAACCAAATCACATAACCGGGAAAAAAAGTTATTAGTTTGTTTTTAATAATGAGGAAAAGGGTAATTGATAATTATTTGGGTTATAGGTATAATATGTCTTTCTATTATGTTGTTTTATCAAATATTTCTATTTACTATTTTTTACATCAAACATGCTTCTATGCACTTTGGAAAAATGATCAAACAAACCCTTCTGTTAAACTTTTCATCCGAAAAACCGTTAACCATGGCCAAACTTTGGTTTGGGCGATAATAGTAGATATAGATATAGTAGTCGATTCGTTAACTTTTCATTCTGCCATTCGCGTAAGTTGACTTTCGAGTTTCAATACTGTCGCGGCTTGGATGCTGGGTCTTTACATTTAGCCAAACGGTGGAACTAGAACAATTTAATAGTCTAACATTTTATTGCTTAAAGAAATAATAGCCAGATCTTTTGAAATGTAGTCAATTTTTTGTTAAAACTTGCGCCACAGTTAGCAGAACGTCATACGCCACTATTTTGATCGAAGGTGAATGGAAGTTGAGGTGCGTTGCATCTATTTGTACAAAATACTAGTGTGGCAATTTTTTTTTTTCAAATATGTGAGTGACATACATTCTTTTCCTAATTAGTATGTCAAGTGGTCACCAAGTATTCCTTCTTTCTTAACAACTTGGTGCTTGACGTCCCCTTTTTTTTTTTTTTTTTTTATGAATCGGGTCTTGACGTCCACCTTCCTCCTAACATTAAATTAAAATTTCCTGAAAACCAAACAAATCACATAACCGAAAAAAAGTTATTAGTTTGTTTTTAATAAAGGGTAATTAATAATTATTTGGATTATAGGTATAATATGCTGCTGTATTATGTCATTTTATCAAATATGTCTTTTTATTATCGTTTACATCAAACATGCTTCTATGCACTTTGGAAAAATGATCAAACAAACCCTTCTGTTAAACTTTTCATCTGAAAAACAGTTAACCATGGCCAAAATTTGGTTTGGACGATACAAATATATAAAATATCCTTAATAATTTCACTTTAGAATTTTTTTGTTCTTTTTATAGCCAAATTATTCTAATAATTTCACTAGTATTTTTGTGCTACAAATTATTCTAATAATTTCACTTTGACGAGACCCAGAAAAATAAAATAGGGGACAAAAGTGATATTTCCCCTCCCATTTACAGATGTGGGTTGTCGATCTAGATGTCGGTTCAACCATAATAGAGGGACATTTTGTAGATATAACCCTAATTATTTAAGTAAGGCATCTTTTCTTTTACTTCTCCTCTGTTGACATTCTCGTTTTTTTTCTTCTGTACCTTCACTTGGCTTAAATTAATGATTAAGGCACTTGGCATTCTTGATGAGTAATTTAGTGCAATTGGACCATGTCACAACTAGCTATACAATTTATATATCACAACTAATGTTGATATGTTCTCATCTGCATCACACATATTATTCCCTTGTTATAAGAAGGCAACTCATCGTAGGTTTAATCAGTGGAACCGCCAAACCAGTTATAATAGCATTCGATCTATTAGCTTGGACAATTAGAAATTGACCAAGTGATTTTAACGATTGGACTTGAAATAAGATGAACCATCATGATTTAACTGATCCTCTATTTTAACCACATAAAAGTTATGAAGAAAAAATATTTTAAGGTAAAGTAAGTGTTTGAAAAAGAGGTTTTCCTTTTACTCAACTGTCGATATGGTGATAAGGTAAAATCTCTCTAATCTCTACTATCTACAATAGTTACAAATATATGATCACAAGATCATCACTTAAATCAAAGAAAGATCATAGAAGACCGTTGCACCTAGAAGAACTATACATAGAAGAAAGCAACAAGAGAAGACTCACAGAATGTGGCTGAGCAAATCTTACACAAAGTAAGACCAAACACTATGTGATTAGCAATAGGTGTAATGAGTGATAGGTGTTCGTTGTTTCTGTTGCTTGAGTGTTTGTGAGGTTTTGTAGTTTCTCTCTATAGCATGGGTGCTTGTGAGGAAGAGAGAGGGATATATTGCTCTAGTCTTATCAAAAGTTTGAGTTCCACCCAAAGGGACTCAGTTTGGAGTTAGAACGGAATAAGACAAAAACTTAGATACTGGGTCTCAAAAGGTGAGCTACCTTTGAGTCGAGACATAAGCAAATATCCTATTTTGTGAAAAAAATAGTCAAACCTTCTGAAATATAATTTGATAGCCATTTTTTTTAATGTTAGCGTCGGAGGGATGAGTTAGCTTGCTAACCCCCCTAAGGGGTTGAAAAAATGACACCCCCTAGGCCCTATTAACTATATTTATTTTGGGTATTAAATTCGTGTTGTATTTAATAATTTTTGGGAATTAAAAAATCATATTAATTACATTCCTTTTTTCAAATACCATTGCACTGATACAATTACCATTGCACTTGTACAATGATATGATTGCACTGATATAACTACCATTGCACTGGAAAAAAAGAAAATAATTAAGATGAGTTTTTAATTCCCATGTATTATTAGATAGAACACAAATTTATTATCTTAAAAGTCTATAATTAATAGGGGTGTCATTTTTTCAACCCGTTTAAAGATAGTCATGCTATCTCATTCTCCGTCAGAGTTTAAAGAATCATACGCAGGGCCAGCTATCTCAACACATCAGCACACAATTAATGAAAATAAAATATTATATATTTAGATAAAACATAAACAATAACAAAAAATATTATTTGGAAGCGAACGAAACGAAGAAATTAATCGTCAGAAATAGAAGACAAAAAAAACAATGAAGTTATGTATTCCTTTACCTACTTAGCTACTAGCATTAGGCCCGGCCCGTTGGTCGGGTGCGTACAGATTATGTACGTGAATTTTGTTTTATTCTATTTGAAGAATAGATGGACGATTAAGTAGCATAATATACATCTATAGATTCAGCTTAATCAAATTTTTAGCTTATGAGATTCTATTTCATGGGGAAAAAATTAAAGTATAAGAGCACTATCACCTCATAAAAACATCGATTTTAGTAGTGTTTGTCTACATAGACGGTTAACAGAACATAATGAGCTACGAAACTGATGCAGTGGTAGCAGAATGGAAAGTTCGTGTGGGTACAAAATGTATTCGGGTGTTTGATGTAGAATATCACAGCTAGGAATATGCTTTCAACCGATCCAATAGTGCCAACCAAAATGCCTTGAAGAATACGTTTAGGAAATTGGAAGTGCTAGAAGGGTTTAGAGACTTTGTCCTTTTTATGGTTCATCCTAACTCAAACTTAGAAGACTCATGCCAGTGGTGGAGTTTATGTGTATGGAAGTAAACAGGTTCTTTATCCCAAGTCTCTCCCGCAAACTTGCTCTTGTCAGTCTTGTGGGAAAGTCCACTCAATGTCAAAGAATTTGCCTTGTGCAAATTGGATTTGGAAGGGAGGTGGACTCAATCCAGGGACAATGATTGGTTGATTTGGTTCAATAGAAGTGAACTGGTCATGGTGGAATGCAAGCATCTTGTGGTTAAAATAATGAGTTAGTTTGCAGGATAGTGGATTACAGGGATGCACCTTGAGATATTTGATCTAGGGGAAGTTGTTTTGACTATCCCCTGCAAATTTGCTGATTAGTTTTGACAACTCATAATACAACAGTTTGCTACTTGCATTGGTGTGGTTATGAGCACAGTTAGAGTAATGTGTGTGACATGTAGCTAATGATGGTAGCCAAGAGAAGGATTGGATAAGCAAATAAAATGATTAAAAAGATTCATGTGTATGATTAAATTATACCAAAATCCAATTTTCCAAATTGTTAAGCAAATGAACCAAAGCATAGAAGGGCAAGAAAGACAGCAAACAACACCAATCAAATTATCTAAAAATGCAGCAAACCTTGCCAACGCTTTTCTTTCACAACACCAACAATCAGATTATTTGAAAAATGCAGCAAACCATGTCAGTAGCTACAGTTGGACTTGTTCTAGACATGAGGTTGATTTGACAGTTATGAACCAAATTTGAGAAACAAAAGAAGAGCATCCACAAGGGAAAAACAATCCAACATATGAGAAAATATTGCAGGCAAAGAACTCCATGGTATTCCACAATTCAAATTGAAAAAAAGAAGACAATCTATAAAGGAAAAGACCTAGAAACAAAGTTTCAACATGAACCTGAATAAAAAAAATTACACATCCCATAGATAAAAGCATAATACGAAACAGAAACTTCACATTGTGACCCTTAACTACATTGGTGGGAAGATATAGAAAGGAAGGGCATTTGAGTACATAGTTATACCCTTCCTTTCCCATTACTTGCAGAAATATTTGAGAACAATTACAGACAGAACCTACCCTATGTATATTAGAAATTAAGAATGAAAACCCAACATACAACAAACAACAAATTCACAACA